AATCCATCAAATGGATGTAAAAACAGCATTCTTAAATGGTGATCTTGAGGAAGAAATTTACATAAACCAACCTGNTATTGATATGCATGCGATGGTATAAGGTTTGGGTGTTGAAACGCATGCGGTGAGATAAGGTGGACTTGATACGCATGGCTAGTAGGGGAACTACTAGAAGTCATGCGGTGTGATAAGTTTGGATAAAACACGGGATGCTATTTCGGAAAAATAATTTTTAAAACAAACTATAAAGGCTCCCCCTGTGATATAAGGAAAACTTTTAAGATATTTACTTTTGGGACTACGAGGCGGTACCTCGGGAGGGCCCATGTTGATTTCCTCTATTTGTTGTATTGGTTGTTATTGTCTCTCTTTAACTTGTAAGATTTTTGCTTTGCTTTCATGTTGTATTTGTCCTCCTTTGATTCCGTGTTATTGCCTTTCGTAAATTTTCGTTGTTTCACTTCTCTGTCATTTTATTATATTATTATATCTTCTGCCTTATTTCTTATTATTTTCAATAGGGCTCTGACCTGATCTCATCACTATTCTATCGAGGTTAGGCTTGACACTTACTGGGTACCGTTGTGGTATACTCATACTACGCTTCTACGCATCTTTTTGTGCAGATCCAGGTACCTCCTACCAGACCAGGTATCAGTGAGTTAGTCCGTACGTGGAGACTTCAAGGTATATCTACCAGCGTTCGCAGACCTCGGAGTCCCCCTCTATCTTTATTATGTTGATTCCTTATCCTTATTAGACTCTGATGTATAGGGATATTTAGTATTTCTCTCTAGAGCTTGTGACTTATATCTGCCGGGTTTTGGGAGTTGTATCTACACTTTGAGTTGTAGATTTTATTTATTACAGTTGTTGATGTTTTGAGTTTTAACTTAATATTTTAGTTATTCTGCATACTTGTTAGGCTTACCTAGTCTTAAAGATTAGGTGTCGTCACGACATCCTACGAAGGAAAATTGAGGTTGTGACACAGTGGCTGCTAACACTGACTTCGAAATAGGGTAAAAGACGTTTTGAAAAGTGATATATCAACAACCTTGGCTCAAAGGAAGAGGAGTACAAGGTTAAATCTTGAAATTATCAGTCGGTCCGCTTGTTCTTCTAAGTTTTTTATACGGCGTGTGTGATTGATGCCTTTTTTGTTATCTCTACCATATAGCAATATTCTTATGTGATAACTAACTCACAAAAAAAAAACGCTTTCAAATTCCCTATTACTAATTCACCTGTAAATGCCTCGTAAGGCAAACTGACAAACCCTTTTGTACCCAAAAAATAAGCCTTTTAATGGTTACTCCAGTACATAACATTACCTCTGTTTTCACCACTTGAATAAAATGTTCATCTGCAAATTATGTTGGACTTTAAGCCATTGGGCTTTAAAGTAGAAGAAGTATGAATTGGAAATGGAGGGAAATAAAATGGAGAGAAAATGAAAAATTTGAAGAAGTCAACTTTTGTCTTGCACTTTGTCCCTAATTGGTGAGGGACAACCACATTTGTGTGCTTATATATAGAATCACTTCTTAAAGCTCTTAAAAGGAGTTGAAGAGAATGAACCCTCGCGCCGTCGTCGTCGCTCGGCTCGGCTCGGCTTTGGCTTTGGCTTTGGATTTGGATTTGGAAAATGATCGATAAGATTATTTTTTGGACAAAATTTATTTAATTATTTAATAATTAATTAAATGCCAAGTCACTGCTGAAAATACGCCAGAATCTTGCTGAAGATTCAGAGAGCCTATTATGCCGCGGTCGCGGTAGAACCGCGGCAGGCAGCGTATTCTTCTGAAAAGACACTTTTTCCAGACACCTCTTCTGATAATTGCCTATAAATTCTGAGGCAAGGCTCCATTTTCTATACATGAAAAAACACTCCAGAACTTCTTTCTTTCTGAATACACTGCATCCTAATTCGCAGTCTCTCTCTCTCAAATTCGTAAGTGTGATTTTGCTCCGTTCTTTGAGTTCGTTGGTATCCTGCAGTTTGTATTGCCACTGTTGCAGGAAGGTTTATTCCGTTTTATTCTGGGAGGATTTAATCCATTACCTGGGCAACTTGTGAGGGGGTTAAAATTCCTTAAGGACGCACAAGAAAATTGTGGACTCGGAATATTTCTGATTCTTTATTGTTTTCTATATTTCTTTATTCTTCTAACAGTTTTGTTTTCTGATTTTTGTTTTAACACAGTAACGCTCAGAAGATATACATTAGCTGTACTCATGACGGACAAACAGTATCTTAAACCCCATGACGGACAGCTTTATTCCTGATAAACACAAGACCTCATGTAAGTGTAACAACAATGACTAATCTTTAATCTCAAGTAATTCGTATTGCGTATGTGGAACCTTTGCTTCCATGATGTTATGTTCTTATCTAACGTGCACAGATCTTTAGTGGTTGCAGTTTTTTTAAGATAACCTTCTCCTTAAGCTCTGGACTAATTGTTTCTTATGATTAATGGAAGTGTCAATTGTGACCATAGCTTAGACTTTTAGACATGTTTATACGGGTTTATAGGCCTCTGATCTTGGAATCTGTATATTCAGGAGATTGAAGAACCTTACTTTACTCAATTTGTCTTTGTACAGTGACGTGTATTTTTCGTAGGTTGAGTTAACAATAACGTGTGACAAAACTTTTGGTTCTACTATAGTAATATTTTCATCCTTTTAAAAATAATTTTTTTTTTGTATAGGCTGTTGAAAAGGGTCGAGACCCAACACCAAGTGAGTTACATTTGTGCATCCATACACATGGGCATGATGGAAAATCTTTTCTTGATAAGAAAGCTCGAATCATGCATATAAGTCCAATATTTTTATAATCTTATTTACTACAATGTAAAAAGAGTATGAAAAGTATCCTCTCTGTTGGTTAATTAAATGCTCAACATTCTTAACTGTTTTAATTTCACTACTTATTACACTTCTTTTACAGGAAAGGTATCAGGAAATATTATAGGAACAAACACAAACTCAATCTGATATTGATCAGTGGAAAGTGTATTACGAAGCCGTGGGAGGGGAAAAGAAGAGAAAAGTATATGGTCTTGGATCTCAAGCAAAATGCTACTATGAACCGAATCTTCGTGGCTCTTCTGGATCAGATGCTTCATCGTCAATACCACCTTCGTGTGCTCAATCAACATCGAACCTGGATGAGTTAGCGATGCATTTGATTCCTACACTAACAGAGCACATAGTTCCTTTGCTAACTGATAAAATGCTTCCAGTATTGATTGAGCGGGTGCGTGAAATGATTTCGTCACCCTCACTGACTTCTACTGACCACCCACTAGATGTGGTACCAACAATTCATGCTCCTCCTACTGCTACTGTTCATGGGGTTCATCCATCGGTTTCAGATGATGACCTTAACCCCTAAGCCTCGTATTTGGTTTGGAAGCTTTTTGTTTTGAACTTTATTGTTGGTGTTAGGGATAATTCGCACCTTTTTGGTTTGAACTTTATTATTGGTGTTAGGGATAATTCGAACTTCATTGTATTAGCTATATGCATTTTGAAATCATTTTGGACCTTGAAGTATGTTAATTTGTATGAATTTTAGTTATTATTAAGGATATCTAATAATTTACATACAATGTGCATGAGCAGAGAAAATTTAAAATATTTGATAAAAAAGATCTAAAAGGGAAAAATATTGCGAGTTTGTGATAGATTGTGACGGATATTTTTTGTAACAAAAATAAATATATAAAATAACATTGTGACAGATTGCAATAGATGATTTTGGTTGCCAAATGAAAAGTTCAAATGAGTCAAAATATTGGTGACGGATTAGCGACCGACTTTCTATCGCAAAAGTATGCCAACAACGAAATGCATTGTGAATTTAGCGACACAATTTTTTAATATAGCAACGGAAATTCTGTCGCAAATTGTAGCAACGGACAGTGTTCGTCGCTAGAACGTCGCTAATATTGCGACACATTCCATTTTTCTGTCGCAAAGAGCTTAGCAACGAGCAAATCAGCAACAAATGCTAATCCGTCGCTAACCCTGCTTAGCGACGGAAAAAGGCTCTTTAGCGACGGATTTGGGTCGTCGTTAAATGTTGTTTTTTTTGTAGTGATCATCTTTTTTCTCTCTTTACAATCCCATTTTTATTAGTTATTTAGATTACAAAAGTATATTTGCTTATGTTTTCTTGTTCTAGATCTCAGTTTTTATTTGAATATGCTTTAACTATTTTTGTTAATCTAGTTAATGTTATTTTTTCTCCTGAAAGGACCAAACATTTTCAATTTAGTTATTATGCGTTTATTTATATACCAAAAAATCTTGTAAGCAAACTGAATTAATTCAACATGGGTTGAACATAACTGAATTAATTTAAAACACAACGAACTAACCAAATGCACACCCTAATTTAACCTCGATTTACGTTAAAAGATAGTGGCACCCGTAACCATCAAATCTTGAATCCGCCTCTGCTCCCATCAGTGGCGGAGCCACTTTATAGGAAGGGGTGTCAAATGACACCCCTTCGCGAACAAAATACACTGTGTAGGTAGGTAAAAGAAAATTTTATATGTATATATACTATGTATTGACTCCTCTTAATTTTCTGATATGTTTACTTTTATATATTTTGATACCTCTTAATGAAAATCTAACTCCGCCACTAGCTCCCATCGATCCGATATCTAAATAAAATATAGTAATTTTCTAGCATACAGTTTGCTAGTCGATTATTAAAGTAAATCACATAATATTGTAACACTAGAATGTGGGGAATAAAACTTGTGAATAACCTATTACTGATGGATAGAGTAGTAAAAATTGAAAAATTGTTGATCGAAGCAATTGACCTTGAAGATGAGATTCATGCAAACAACATAAGATTTACCCATATAAATTCCTATAATATATCGTTTCTCCCCTTTTGGTATAACGAATTAAATCCACCAAATATCAATAACTATTTATTTTTACATATATAGGTATTTGGCTTTTTTAATCATACTTTCTCATTTACCAGTTCTTGCATTCTCCACTCCCCCATCAATTGAAGAAAACATCATTTCATCATATCATTTTCGTTTTCTTTTTTGGTTGGTGAACGGAAAGAAATACGTAATCACAATTTTCCTTTTTAAAAACTTTTTCACAAAAAGAAAAGAGTTTAGAAAAAGAGCCTAAATGGATCTTAAATCAGTAAACAGTCCAATGTGTGATGCCAACGACGGAGGGCGGGCCGACGAAGGAGGGTCGAGTAGGACTGACAGACTTTTTGGCGGGCAAGCTTCTGAAGGTGCACATGTCCACTCTAGGTGAATCTCACATCTGAATGAAAAAGGAAAGTAAAGAACTTTATAAGGCACGTCACAAGTTCACGTTGTGGGGTCCATCTCATCAATTAAGGAAGACCTATTTGTGGGGTCCATCTCATCAATTAAGGAAGACTTTTTTCCTTTTGTTGATTGTTTAAAATTGGCAGCAAACATTTTTCTTCTGCATTGTCGAATAGGGTAGGCTGCAGAAGGAAAATGTTAAATCTCTCATTTCTGACACATCAAAATCTCAGATAATACATTTGAGTGAGAGAGAGCATGATATTCCATAGACTATAAGAAAATAGTATGTGAAAAAAAAATAGAGTGTGAGAGTATTGTAGTGAGGTGGAAAAAAGCAAAAAAGTATTTTTTTTAGGGTGTAGTGGTCTTAGGAGTATTTGTACTCGTTACTACAAAGTGTAAAATTCCTCGCTATAGTGATATCAGTTGCTCTTCTTGGCCATGGTTTTTTCCCTTATTCAGAAGGGTTTCTACGTAAAATCTTGGTGTCATTATTGCTGTATTTCTATTCTTGTTGATTTAACCATAACTTAGTGTTCCGC